GCCTTCCACTATCCCAGGTTGTTCCAAGCCCTGTCCAACCTGGCCTTGGACACTTCCAGGGATGGGGCAGCCACAGCTTCCCTTGGAAAACTGTGCCAGGGCCTCACCACCCTCACAGCCAAGAATTTTCCCCTGATATCCAACCTAAAGCTACTTTCTCTCAGTGTGTAGCCATTGCCCCTTGTCCTGTCACTCCAGACCCTTGTAAACAGTCTGTCTCCCTGTTTCTTGTTAGCTCCTTTCAGGTACTGGAAGGTCACAATTAGGTCACCCCCAAACCTCTTTTCAGGGCCGAACAATCCCAGTTCTCTCCCCTTTCCTCACAGCAGAGCTGCTCCATCCCTCTGATGATCTCCGTGTCCCTCCTCTGGACTCGCTCCGACAACTCCGTGTCCGTCCTGTGCTGGGGACCCTGGAGCTGGAGGAAGGGCTCCCTCCAGGTGGGGTCTTGGTTCAGCCAGGTGGTTGAAATCATGATCCCTTTCTTCCTGAGAACTTGGGCCTTTACAGCACCGATGACTTTAATGTATCAAGGCGATTAATAATTATTTATCAAATCACCACTTGGAAAATATGTGTGTTTGTCACCTTCCTGATGTGGACTGTTCAGTGTCCGCTCCCTACCACGATTTACATTAACCAGTGTGGTTCAAAATTGAATTAAAAGCTCTTTTCACCCCTTCAAGTTCCCTTGTGCTGTCGAGTCAGCAGTTTTGGTACCAACTCCATGTTACTGATACAGGGACACATCCAAAAGTCACTGGAAGGGCTCCCACCGAGGTCAAGACCCTCATTTGAGAAGGTCTCTCAGGAGCGAGCTCAGAGCCAGGTCAGCAGCACCCTGGGCACTCAGGCGCCCGTGATTTTGGCTCTGGCCCACGAATTGCTGCTTTTCCCATCTCATTTTTCTTGGTAGCTCATTCCTGCGTGGCGGCATCTGCGATAGGATGTGTTCCCACAACTTCAGGGAAGGGGGGCAGGCCTGCTTTTGGGTTGATTCGCTCCGATCCTGACCCCACACTTGTGACAAGTGGCGTGTTAGGGCGATGGAAACCCAAATTTAGGGAGTGTATCAGTGATGGCTTCCTTTTGTTACTAAATAAATCCTCTGCACAGCTCATTTGCTACGTGCCCTTGTTTATTACACATTTTTAAGCCGTTGGCACATTGTAAACTTCTTTTTCTTCTCCTTCTTCCAGAGAAACAAAAATGTTTTAACCCCTGCTAAACTTGAGGCACCGAACCCAACAGTCACCTGTGGAAATGCATGATTTTCTATCACATTCCAGGGAATTTTGAAGGTCAGATGCAGCTCTCAGACAGCATTTCCCTCCCTTTTTTTAACTCCTGAACCCTTCCAGTTAAGCCCATTTTTAAATAGTTTTAGTAGTTTTAAATAGTTAAGTTGAAGTCAAGCCCATCTTTAAATAGTTTTAGTTTGGTTTTAAATAGTTGAGTCTGGGGGTTCATAAATATCATGAAGATCCTGTTTCTCCATCAAGGATCCAGAAAGCAGGTGGATGATGTTTAGTCTCAGCCCAAGGGACAGGATGTTAATGCTTTCTCCTCTTGGAAACAGCCTCCTCCTGTTTAGTTACAGGCACTTCAATATAAAACAAATATTCAATCAGCAAAAGGAGGGGGGGGAAAAACACCCTTTTTTTATTTTTCCTCTCCTCTGCTGGGTCCCTTCCAAGTCAGACCCTTCTGTGCTAAGGC